CTGCCTTTTCCCCTCAGGAGCCCCTTGTCCTGCTGTAGCAGGAGCTTCCCTGGAGAAACCAAGGAGCACTTAGGGAAGGGGCCTGAAGTGTCCTGTCCTCACCAGGATTTTCACCTGGAGAAGCTGCTGCCCAGCCTCCTGTGTCTGTTCCCTGCTGGGGTTAGGATGTTGCCCTGAATACACACAGTGTGCCCAACACTGGGGTGCTCCCATGGTGGCGCCGAGACGGGGTCCCAACCCCTCCGAGGTGCCCTCAGGGTGCCACTCATGGCTCCCCTGAGCATGGGCAGCCAGCAGGGGCTGGTCTGTGTCCCCTGAGGGGCCGCGTGCTGGGGACAGCTCCAGCCCCTCCCCAGCCCAAGGGGCCGTGCTGGGGTTGGTGCTGGTGGCAGGGGGGCTCTGGGGGGCACAGCGATGCATTCCAGCTGAAACTTGTAAGGCAGAGGTATTTTAATGTATTGGCTTAAAGAAAATGGTTGTGAGCTTTGCTGGGGCAGATTGACAATTAATTTCTTTTTTTTTTCTTTTTTGTCTTTCTTTTTTTTTTTTCTTTGCGGGGCCATAAAAATTCCATTTCTGCTGTGGAAAGTTTTAACCCCTTCCTTACCCTGGTGCTTGTTTCTAGGTATTAATGGGGGATTATTTTAACTGATGGCTCCCCAGGGAACTGTTAATAGATTTTGGGGAAATGTGTGTGTTCTTTGTGCTGGGGTTTTATCTGGACCTTGTTCACAGTGACCTGTGTATGGCTATAACCTTCCTGCTTCCCTGCTTCTGTGTGTTTGGCAGTGTAAATACAGATCTGTGCTGTGGCAGAGGGGAGGAAAAAGACTGAGCATGGGCCTGATAGTCCAAAAGTGGAGTAAAAGTGCATGGAAAGGTGTTGAGGGAAGATGTACCTGAGCTCCATGGCCAGTGGAGTGTGAGGCTGCCCTGTGACACAGGAGTACAGGAGGGAGGGACATGGAAATGGGGAATGGGCTCTGTGGTGGGAGGACTTTTGAATATCCTGCTTCATTTCCAGGTTGCCCAGATGTGCATTAAGTCCCTGTCACATCTGGAGAGTGCAGTGATTTATTTTTCATGTGCGTGGTCTTCCCTATGGGCACCTCTTCAGTGTTTTGAGAAGCTCTTCCTTGCAGCCATGTATTGAGAGGGGCATTTGACCTGCTGGGAGGAGGTTTGGTGGCTTTGGAAAAGCCAAGGAGTGAATCAGAGCAGTTTGTTTCATGTGCTTCGTGATCTGCCCATGTTTTCCATCCTGCTTTCAAGTGCAACATCAAGCAGTGGGACTGTGCAGTGTTTTGTTTTGGAAAAAAGCATCTTTCTTTTCTCTTTTAAAGCACTCCTTTGAACTTTACTGGCATAAAACGCTGTCAAATCACAAATAGTCTCAAACCTCAAGTTATTTTCTTTACCTCCATACTCTGCAGGGAGTGACAGCAGCAGTGCTGCTAACGCCGGGAGGATTTACAGTGTTTGCTCTCTGCATTTATTCCCAGAGCCAGATTCCTTTTGCCTGAGCCATGCAGGAGCCTTTTCCCTTTAAATTCTGGGCCGGATTCTCCTATCTTATTCCTTTATCTCTAATTGTTTGAATTCACTTTGGGATGTGCTGGGAGGCATCGCTGGGATGCATGGAGGAGCAGTGGTGGAGGAAGGAGTAAACACCAGGCAGAGTTTCAGCCCCTCCATCTGATGGATGAAGGTGGCTTTGATGGAGGAGATAGCCCTGACGCCAGCCCCTCTGGAGCGGCTACAAGTTGTAGCTGCCTACAATGATAGTTGTTAAAAACCCCTCCTGTACCACGGCGGGACTCAAATATTTTCCTTTCTTCAAAAAGAACGCTAACAAGCCCGCCTCTGTTCCAGCAGAAGTGGGAGGGGGGACAAAACAGAACAAAAAGTGGATTTTCTTGTCTGTGCATAAAGGGCAGCATGGAAAAAAAGCGGAGAGAAAAGTGGAATATTTATTTAAAAGGCAGAGGAGGAGGTGGTGGTGTGCCGGCCGCCCCTGCTCTCTGCAGAGTGGTAGTGGCTAATAGCTGGAGGCGAAACTAATACTTGGCAGGGGATGAGACACAGCACAGGCCCCCCTGATTTGGGGGCTTGCTGAAGTGCTTGTTTTATGTCAGGGCTGCGGGATGAGTTCATCTTTGCAGGAATTGGTTGAGTGCACTGGGAGATAAAAGGAGGGAGAGGAGCCCACCGCAGCTCGGGAGCGCTGGGAGAGGGACCCTGCGGGCAGGGGCTGCTCACATGAGCCCTGAGCCGTCCCCTGCCAGGGGTCACTTCCCTGTGGGCTGCTGTGTTTGGATTTTAAAGACTTTCCTCTCCCTTGGCCAGAAGAAGTGGGTTGAAAGGAAACTTCTTCTTTCTTGAGGTGCAGTTACCTGAAAGTCACATCACCACCTGCTTGAAGGAGCACATGAGTTCTCCAGGAGTGCTGTGAGCCGGCAGAGCTGGCACTGCCAGGCAGGGGCTGTGCGATGACAGAGATGAGGAGCTCACTGGCAGGGGGCTGCATTCATGGATAGATGGAGGGAAGTTCCTGCCTTAAGTTACATGGAAATGCTTTTAATAAAGCTATTTCAAATGCATGTGAACATCACCCATGCTTTCATGACTGCTTTTGCTTAGATATTTCCCAGTTCCTGGAAAGCAGAGATGGCACCAGGGCTGTTGGCACCTCCAGCAAAATATTTTTGTAGGATAGGCACTGTTTTCCTCCAGCTTTACTTCCCCCCCTCCCTGCATATTAATTTGCACTAAACCATGAGAAACTCCTATTTAAATGTTTACTGCTGACTGTTCCCCTGATTAATGAAGCTGCTGGGGACACTGGAGGTTTGAAGTTGTCCCATCCTTAATCTGTAAGGGAAATGCAGGGGCTGAGCAGTAGTTTCTCAAAAATGTAATAACAAAACCAACATAGCTAATGGGCATGGAGGGCTTTGAGGAGGTTGGGAGGTTAAACAGATGCAGAGCTCAGTAATTGCTACCAGCCTCCAGCCCCGGCACATGAAAGGCTCTGAGCTGGTGTGTAGCCCCCAGATCACTTGAGTGGGACAGCAGCAAAGTTCAGTGTTTGGGGGAGAGCTTTGGGAAGGCATTGGGAGCATCTGTAGGATGTCCCAGGGGAAAAATGACTGTGGAAACTGGATGCTGTGGAAGATGGGTGGAGGTCTTAGCACCTTGGTTTAGTGCAAGTTGTCCCAGTTGATGACAGAGGGATGGACTGAGATGGTGTCCCCAGAAATGTGACCTGTGGTGGGTGAAGGGGAAAGGGCTGAGATGGTTCCCCCAAAATGTGACCTGTGGTGGGAGAAGGGGCTGCTTCAGGCTGATGAGCACTGCCCACAGCAAAGGGCATCCTACTGCCTGCCCTGTCACCCCCTCCCCCACGGCCCTCCCCTTAAATTTGTATAGTTACAACTCCAGTTAAACTCCAACAAAGCCGCTTAATCCAAAGCTGGTTAATGGGGAGGGGAGCCCGCTCTGCTCCGGGGTAATTTGAGCCTGAAAAGAAGCGGGGCTGGAGGGCTGGGCCTGAAATCCGGTGTGTCAGTGGGGGCTCTGGAGCAAAATAATGGCATCACCCCGCGGGCGAGTTAATGGGACATGATGGCACGGAGGCACCGGGGTCAGCAGGCCGCGGGCACGTGAGGGATTGTCAGGGAGCTTAATGCCGGCCACGGAGCACGGCCAGCCAGAGCACAGCACCTCGCTGGAAATTCCATGGCGGTTTTCCCTTAACCGGTGCGGCAGGAGCAGGAATGATGTTCAGCAAGTGGTTAATTTGCCCTCTTTGGGGCTCCTTCTTTTCCTGTCTTCCTTCTGGAGACATCATAAATTCTGGAGGCATCATAGATTAAACAGATTTCTGGCAGCCTGCATCCCTCCCGTCTTCCCTGAGTGTAATTCCTAGAAAGAAGAGACGTCTCTCATTGTCTGGAGAGAGTTCCAGTGGGTTTTTAGAAGGACATGTATAGTTCATAGCAGCTACTCCCCCTTGGCATGAAACACTTCCTCAGATTTCATGTTCCCCGTGGGAACATCAGCGTGGCTGTCAGAGAATATTACACTGAGGAGACACCCGGCGGGTCACTCTCCTTGGACATCCCTGGGGTCAGCTCGCCACAAGTTGGGCTTCAAAGGTGGGGGTGCTGGGGAGCCACCAGGCTCAGGATACCGGGACAGTGTTGGAACCAGATCCATTGGGAGGAATGCAAATATCCTGAGGACACGCGGGCCCAGCTGTGGATGCAGGACATTAAATTGGAGAGAGACGTGCTAAGCTCATGGGAGATGGTGGGCATCCTCTGAGGTCTCCAGCCTGGGCTTGGGCCACCAGTCTTGGTGGCATTTGATGTAATTGGAGACAGGATTTGGGTTGAGCACAAGCTTTGGGTTGAAGATGGACTTTGGGTTGAGCACACATTTTTGGGTTGAGCACAAGCTTTGGGTTAAACAGAACTTTTGAGGTGAAAGCAAATTTTGGGTTAAATACAACTTTGGGTTGAATGTGAATACAGGGTTGAACATGAAGTTTGTGCTGAACACAAGTTTTGCATTGAGCACCATCTTTGGGTTGAACACAGATTTGGGAATAGCACAAAATTTGGGTTGAACACAAGTTTTGGGTTGAGCACAGCTTTTGGGCTGAGCACAGACTTCAGGTTGAGTACAAGTTTGGGTTGAGTATGGAGTTTGTGTTGAACACAAGTTTTAGCTTGAGCATGAACTTCGAGTTAAATTCCAGCTTTGGCTTGAACACAGGTGTTGAGTTGAGTGGGAAATTTGTGTTGAACACAAGTTTTGGGTTGAGCACCATCTTTGGGTTGAACATGAGATGTGTGTTGAACACAAGGGCTAGGTTGAGCACAAGTTCAACTTCTCACTGAGCAGAGCTGATGGGTGGGAGGAGCTGTTTCCCAGGCTCCATCCCTGTGGTTCCCCAGGTGATCCCAGCACTCCTGACTCCCTCTCTGTCCCCACAGACGCCAGCACGTCGCCCGATGCCGTGAAGAGGAGCCATTGGTGCAACGTGGCCTACTGGGAGCACCGGACGCGCGTGGGCCGCCTCTACACAGTGTACGAACAGTCTGTCAGTATCTTCTACGACCTACCTCAAGGAAACGGCTTCTGCCTCGGACAGCTAAACCTGGACAACAGGAGCGAGACTGTGAGAAGGACTCGAAGTAAAATCGGCTACGGGATTTTACTGAGCAAGGAACCGGACGGGGTGTGGGCCTACAACCGCAGCGAGCATCCCATCTTCGTCAACTCCCCGACACTGGACATCCCCAACTGCAGGACTCTGATCGTGCGCAAGGTGATGCCGGGCTACTCCATCAAGGTGTTTGACTACGAGAAGTCCTGCCTGCTGCAGCACGCGGCCGAGCTGGATTACGCAGACGGGCCCTACGACCCCAACAGCGTCCGGATCAGCTTCGCCAAGGGCTGGGGGCCCTGTTATTCCAGACAGTTCATCACGTCGTGTCCGTGTTGGCTGGAGATCTTACTCAGCAACAACCGGTAACCCTCCGAGGAAAGGAAAACATCAACGGTGACAAAACACACACACACAAAAAGAAAAAAAAAAAGACAAAAAAAAAAAAAAGACACAGACTATCCCAAATATCATCTACCTAGATTTAATATAAAGTTTTATATATTATATGAAAATATATATTATACTTGTAATTATGGAGTCATTTTTACAATGTAATTATTTATGTATGGTGCAATGTGTATATGGACAAAAAACAGAAAATGCACTTTGGCTTATATAATTCTTTCAATACAGATTTTTAAAAAAAAGAAAAAAAAACAACAAAAATTATACAGCAAAAATAGGAGAAAGCCCTAATTTTGATGTATGGTTTTTTGAAATATTATTAATACCCAGACAAAAAGCTAATACCAGTCACTCATTGATAATAAAGTATTCGCATTATGGGGGGGGATTTGTCTTTTTTCTTCCCCCCCCAGCTGAAGTTGGCAGCAGTCAGGGGGGCTCCAGGGGGCAGCTGCTGTCTCCCATCTCAGCCAGGACCCTGGAAAAGCAGTAAATGAGTTGGAAGGCTGCAGCTGGCTCCAAGAGGAGGGTGGGTGAGGCCAGTTGGAGAGCCAGGGAGCACTGGGAGGAGGTGAGAGGAAGATCTGTAGCTCTTCTCACCCAGGGCTGTCTGACCTCTCTGATAACACAGAACATGGTGAGAATGAGGGTGCACATCCATGCTGTGCGGATTAATCTTCATCAGTGCTAATCAGTAGGTCTTGGAGAAAAGCAGAATATTGCACAGCCACAAAGCTGCCCAGCAGGACCAGTTTGGATCTCTGGCCTTACCCAGGGGTTGTCTGTGAGCCCTGCACATCCCAGACGTGTTTGATGGTTGAGAAACAAATGGAGGTTTTGGACAACTCATGGTTGGGTGGATCCTCCACTGGAGCATGGCCTGGATTTTGGGAATGTCTCCAGTGCCTCGGAGGAGCCATGAGCAGCTTTGTCCCGTAGATCTCCCAGTCTGTCATCCAGGCAATGAATGATCCAGGAGTGTTTGGGAAGAATATATTTACTCTGAGGAGCAGCTGCAGCCAAAAAAATGTCCTGGGCAGATGTGCCTGTCTCAGCTGATTTACTCTGCCTGGAAATCCTGGATAAAATCAGCTCCTTTGCTCTGACTTGTGCTGGGCCTGGCAGGGGCAGGTTGGACACAGGCTTTGCTTGGCTAGGGAAGTTATTTTTTGCCAGGGAGGAGCTCTGCCAAGTCCTGGAGTTTTGCTACAATTCCAGTCTGTGCCTTTGATTTCCATAAAATCCCAGCCTCTGGAGCCCAGTGACTTTGGAAGCTTTCAAGGTTGCAGAGGATATTTTTGTCACCTTCATATTCACAGAGAAAAAGATTCAATGAGACCTTAAAGAGTTAAATATGGCCTAAATTTATCATTCAGAAGCCTCCTGGTGCATGTCAGGGTCCTGCATTTTGGCACCTGGCCCTGATGTTCTTGCCACAGCCACGAGTGAGGATGGGGAATGACAGAATTGTGGAATCCTGGAATGGTTTGGGTTGGAGGAGACCTGAAATGTCACCTTGTTGCACACCTTCCACCATCCCAGGGTGCTCCAAGCCCCGTGCAGCCTGGCCCTGGACACTTCCAGGGATGGAGGAAGGTGGGGGCTGCATCCCACAGGGAAACACAGGAACCTGGATGGATGCTGGAGAGATCTGAGCAGGGAATGTTGCAATGACATTCCCGCAGTCATTTTTCAAATTATAACCATATTTGATGTTTAATTGGGACCACATTGGTTGAATTCCTGCAGCATCAGTATTAATACTTGACATCATTAATTTTTGTTTGTGTTACAGCCATTCTTAGGGAACGGTGTCAAAACATGTCACTCTCATTTAAAGCAGCTTTCAAGAGCTTTGCAGGGGGTTTTTTATCCCTTTGGCTTAGGTTTGGTGGGTCCTGCCAAACCACCCACCTCCTTTGCTATATCGCTTTCACACAGTCTATCAAGAGGCCATTTTTATGTTTTGGGGGCTTTTAAAAGAGATTTTTCTCAATACTATCCTCTTTTACCTGGGGAGCACCAGCAAACATTGCTTTTTTTGTTTCCTTTTCTTTTCCCCAGCATTTCCCACACCACATTGACACCTTTGTTCCCTGTTCTCCTTGTGGAGCAGTGCCACCATTTTCCACTTTCTACCCACTTCATAATTTCAGACAAAACAGCACCAAAGGATGGATTTGAGGGTTAACTCTGGCTTTCCCTTGTGCAATCCACTGATGGTGCTTAATTCTCTTTTTTTTCATTACTCATGCACTTCCCCAGGAATAAATCTGGAGTTGTATTTCAGTTGACAGCAGGGCTTTAAAGGGAATAAAAAAGGATTTTATGGTGAGGCAACAAAATATGACATCAAGTATCCTTTTCTGTGTCATTTTGCCCCTTTAATACCTTATAATCATTGAAACTTAGAACTCTTTACAGGAGCTTTAGGACTTCAAAGCTATAGAGCTCCACACTGGGCCCTCTCAGAGCTCAGCTGGAGCCTTCCCCGCAGTGGGGATGGACCTGGGGCTGGGAATTGTCACCTGGAGCAGCCCTGGGGTGGCTGAGGGCGGAGGGCACTGCCGTGGGGAAGGAGGAGTGAATTCCCTGCCAGGTTTGCAGGAGCAGCTGGGCACGGTTGGGGCTGATTAGGGAGCTGATGGGATCCGGCTGTGCAGCACCCACAGCTGCTGCCAATTGCCCCAGCCCTATAAAAGCAGGATGGCCACAGTGCTGCTCTTTTCTGAGCTGCCTCCTGAGCTTCTTCATGTGAGATTTTACTCCTTCCTGCAGGAATTGTGCTCTCCCAGTACCTGAGGTAAGTGGAATGTTCCCTGTTGTTGGGTCTGTGTGGTGTTTCGAGCATTTTAAGGGTAGAAATTGAAGAGCTCCCTCACAGGCGGGTGCTGGCCTGTGCTTGGCCTGATCTGTGGGGTCTCTGTGGCTCCTTTTGGGCTGGCTGGCGCTGGCTCAGCTTTGTCCTGAGGAGGCTTTTGGGTCACCCGTGTGTTTACAAATCACCAGGGGCTTGTTTTGGGCAGTGGAGTGGGGAAATGAAGGGATTTTTTCCTGTAGCAGTGCTGAACACCCAGGGTTCACACTGAGCTCAGGGAGTTCTGAGCCTCTGCTGTTGTGCCAAGGCCGAGAGTATGCAGCAGCCCTCAGAGCCTGGGGCAGGGATCCCTCAGAGCCCTCACGGCTGAGGCAGAGACCCCTCAGGGCCAGGATCCCTCAGAGCCGCTGGGGCAGGGGTCCCTCAAAGCCCTCAGGGCTGGGGCTGAGGCAGGGATCCCTCAGAGCCCTTGGGCCCGGGGCAGGGATCCCTCAGAGCCTGGGGCAGAAGTCCCTGAACAGCCCTCAGGGCCCGGGACAGGGATCCTGGAGCAGCCCTCAGGGCCCGGGGCAGGGATCCCTCAGAGCGCTCGGGGCTGGGGCAGGGATCCCTCAGCAAACACAGCTCTGTCCTGGTGCTGAGGGCCCGGCTGGGCACTGACCCGGAGCTGCTCTGCTGTGTGGGTAGGAGGGGATGGTTCCATTGCAGGCCAGGGCTGTTGGGTGGGTTTGTGACTGTCACCCCTCCCAGGCAGTGACTCCTCAGGTGGAGCTGCCCCACGGCACGGCCTTGGCAGGAGCAGGCAGCTCTCTCCATGCCGAAGCACAGCCTGGGGTGGGTGGAGTGGCTCAGCTGGCTCCCCATGGGTCACCTGAGAGGTGTTGGGACAGGGAGATGTTCTGAGCTGGTGTTTGAGCAGTGAAACTCATGGACGGTTCTGTGAGTGCCAAGGCTTGGCTGGAGGCACCAGCTGGGTTCTCCTGGTGTTGTGGGTGTACCCCAAGTCCACTTCAGTGGAAGTCCTGAATTGGTAATTCTCCTATTGGACCTGAGTCCTTGCAGGCTTTGGTGTGTGGACTGTGTTTATTTGATAGGATCCTCTTAATTTAGCAATAATGGGGTTTAAGTCTGCACACTGGGCTGGGGAGGAGCAGCCAGTTGCTGGTGGTGGGTCCCAGAGGCTGCTGCTCCCCCTGTGAGCAGACATTCATCATCCCAGTCCTTGACTTCATTGCTGCTATGACTGAGAAATGCTTTTCAGCAGCCAGAATGGAAAAGAAATTATTGCTAAATTCATCTACTCTCAGCTCTTCTTAAAAAGAAAGGCTGAGAGCCCTTAGTGGCACAGGTCTGGCCACAGTTTTATGGGGGCTGCCAGTCTTTGGGCCATAATCCTCCTTCTCAGGGCTTTATCTCCACAGTGGAAGGGCTTGTTCAATATATAATTCAGAGCTGGAATTCAAATTCAGGGCTCTGTGTGGGCTACCAAGGCAGAGGACAAAAATCCCTGTTGGTGTAGAGAAGGGAGCTGACGTTTGGTTTGGGGTGTGATGCTGCTTGGCTTCATGGGCTGTGAGTGGTGGAAGGTCTCCAGCTCTTTGGGATGTGTGTTAATGCTTCTAGCAGAGCTGCTCACACACCAGCCTGTGCTTCCCAAAGCCCTGGGTGCTCCAGGCTGGGGCTCTGCCTGCTCTGGGGTGGGATTGAGGTGGAGGAGGAGCTTTATCAGTGCCCAGGGTGGTGCTGCCTCAGAGGATGGAGCTGCCGGTGCCTCTCAGGGGTGTGGGATGAGCCTCAGGAGCCAGAGGGGGGGTTGTGGGGTTTTCTGTGACAAACACCACGACAAAATAATCAAATGTCTCTCTCATCCATCCCAATGCCTTGTGGAGAGAGCTGGTGAGGGCACAGGGCTGTGGGGAACTGCTGCTGGTGCAGGGCATGGCTGGGGGCTTGGGGTGGTGAATCTGCTGCTCCCTGGCTCGTTTAAGCTCAGCTTTGGAGGAAATGGGAGCTGGGTGCTGCAGAGCTGTGCTGGGGAGGGGAGAGCCTGTACCTCCCCCCAGTGTGTCCTGTCCTGAGCTGTTTGGGAGCAGGAGCTGCCTGGTGGGAGAACAGGACTCTTGTGAGTGTCCAGCAGGGACCACGACCTTCCTAGAAAGCAAAAATAAGGATTCAC